GCCAGGACCCCACTTCCAGATTCACAGGCTCCAGGGATTAGGATGCAGACATATCTTTTCAGGGGTCACCATTCAGCCCACTGCGGTGCCCCTACACCTGATGTCCACAGGCCAGACTCACGGTCACGGACACCGGGGTCTCCCTCAGATGCAGACACGCACACAGGCAGCCATGTGACATGCAGTCTTGCACACACACAGACACGCCCATGACACGGGCAGACACGTAGCGACACGCCCGTGACACACGTGGACGTGCACACACACTCACACACATTCAGCTCCCACTCACTGACTCCCAGAGTCACGCTCTTCTCGAGAGACCACCTAAAAGTCCCACCGCCACACCTTGGGCCCCAGGGGATGATCTGAAAACGCCAAGCATGAACCAAAGCAGTAAGTCTCTCCTGACCTTTTCTTTCAATTCTACAAACTTGACCTCACACATTCCACTAACTTTCCAGTTGGCCAGGGTGCTGGGAGGGGGCGTCTGGAATCACCCTGCAGTGCTGCTGGCCAGCAGTGAAGACGGTAGCAAGCCGCTGCTTCTCTGAGCCGCAGTCTCCTCACCTGTGAGCTTAGCACTCAAGGGCCAGTTGGGCAGTCCGTGCACTGCACGAATGCACCCTGCTAGCAGAGCAAGTAAAAGCTCCAGTTCAGCCCCGCCTTCTCCCTCCAAACCACGAGTCGGGGCCAGGGCAGGGCAGCCTTCCTGGGTGCTCTGGCCCCACACACACCGAGCTGCCTCATGCGCAACAGGGCTGGGAGTCACAGGACCACTGCTACCTGTGAGCCAAAGACGTAGAAGCCGCACTCAAGTGCGAGAGAAAAAGACCCAACGTCCACGAAGCCAAGAGGCCCACGGAGGGATGCGCGACGTTACGAGTCGCCACGGGAGTGCAAATCACACAGCCATCTCACACCTGCTAGGACAGCGGTAATCGAAGAACAGGAAACAGCAGTTCCTGGAAAGGGTGCGCAGAAAGCGGGACCCTCACGCGTGGCTGGTGGGAATGGGAAATGCTGCTGTGGGACCGCTTGCTGACTCCTCGAATAGCTAAGCCCCAGGAGCCCCGGCGCCCCGGCGCCCCCACTCCCGGGAAGACCCCCAAAGACCTGGACGCAGGGCCTGGAGCAGACGCCCGTACGTGAACACTCACGGCGGCACGAATCACAGTCGCCAAAAGGTGGAAGCAATCCCGACCTCTACCGACAGGTGAGCGCATAGACCACGTGTGGTCTGCTCACCAAATGGAGTCTTGCTCAGGCTTAACAGGCAGGGCAGTTCTGACTACACGCAAGGGCCAGAGACAGGAGGCCGATGGGTGGTGCGGGGGGCGGGCGCAACGGCCGCACGGGCTTCCTTCCGGGGGTGCCAACGGCCCGGAACGAGACGGCGGGGACGAGGCACCGAGTGTACACAAACGTGTACTTGGACATGGCCGCAGCGGTGAATTTTGTGACGAGTGTCTTGCTCCCCTTGACGGGACAGACACGGGAGCCTGAAGGTCCCCACGAAGGAGGCGCGAGCCCGCGCCGGCCCTCACCTCGTCGTCATGGACCAGCTCCTTCTTCACCACCTTCATGGCGTACATCTGATCGTTCTTCTTCAGCCGCACCAGGAGGACCTTGGCGTAGCTCCCGCGCCCAATGACCCGAATCAGGTCAAAGTCCTGCAGCCCGAGCCCCTGAGATATTTTGATTCCATCCATCCCGTCGATAACTGGCTTGAGGTCCTGAGGGCGAGACAGAACGTGGGAAAGGGCGGGACCCCTCCCCGCGGAGGGTGACGAGTCCCTGCGCCTGGCCTGGAGCTCAGGGCACGATTCTGCTCACGGGCCCCGACTCTGTGCCCCGAAGACCACCCCAGTCCTGCCACTCTGAAAGCCCGTCATTTCTGCAGACCGTGGCCCAGTCGCCAGCCACAGGCGGCCCTCTGTGGGCACGTGGGTGACGGGGGCCGGCCTCCCCAGGACAGGCTCCCCCAGGGGCTACAGAGCAGAACTAGCTGAGATCGGCAAAGCACCGAGGTCGGACTCCTGGAAATACATAATGAAACAGAAAGGTGATCCGATTAAGAACAGAGAAGCCTCCCGGGGCGCCTGGGTGGCGCAGTCGGTTAAGCGTCCGACTTCAGCCAGGTCACGATCTCGCGGTCCGGGAGTTCGAGCCCCGCGTCAGGCTCTGGGCTGATGGCTCAGAGCCTGGAGCCTGTTTCCGATTCTGTGTCTCCCTCTCTCTCTGCCCCTCCCCCGTTCATGCTCTGTCTCTCTCTGTCCCAAAAATAAATAAAACGTTGAAAAAAAATTTTAAAGAACAGAAGCCTCCCTCCTAAGAACTGTCTCTGGCAAGGGTATCCGTAGGGGAAGCAGGGGGTAACTAAGTGCTCCTGACTCATCCCAGACGGGGAATGACCAGGAAGGAAAGTCAGGAAGTCTGGGCGCCATTTCTCAGGTACTCTGGGAAAGCTGTGGTCCCAGCAAGGCAGAGCTGTCCTGAGGTTCTGTGGACGGAGGCTGCAAACTGGAGTCTGTGTGACTTCTCCTCACTCACTGGAATCATCTGATGCCCCACCGACCGCCCAGAGCCGGCCACACACAGGGCCGAGCCGAAAATCTCAGTCCAAAGCCAGGGTGGAACACAAAAGGGCAGCAGCAGGTTTCCCGGGACAGAAGGAGTAAATCGTGACCCTGGGATTTATACTGACAAATATGTTGGTCTCAGCCCCATTCCTGGCACAGAGTTCCCAACACCCCTGGAGCTCCCTACCTCACAGAAAATGCATTTTTTTATGTTAATGAGACAACTTTTGAGAAGCCCAGGCCACCTAACGATGGAGGTGATTACCAACCCCTGCTTATTATAGAGCGTCAGAACTCAGCCTCACCCCCTGACCTCCGGGGAGGGGAGAGGGGCCGGGGTTGGGCCCATTTTCCAATGGCCAAGGCCTCATCAGTCACGCCCCTGTTACGAAGTCTCCACACAAACCCAAAAGGACCACGTCTGGAGAGCTTCTGGTTGGTGACACGGGGAGCTGGCCTGGACGGAGCACGGACACCCCACCCCCTTCCCCCAGCCCTGGCCCCGTGCACCTCCTCCATCCGGCTGTTCCTGAGTGATCTCCTTTTATCACAAACCAGGAATCCAGGAAGCAAAATATTTCCCTGAGGCCTGTGAGCCGCTTTAGCAAATTAACTGAACCCAAGGAAAGGGTCGTGGGAACCCCCGATTTACAGCTGGTTGGTCAGAAGCACACGCAGGTGGCCGGCCACCTAGATGCGTGAATGGTATCTGAGCCCTTCCCTTTGGGGTCTGACACTAGCTCCAGGCAGAGGGGGGTCAGAATGCAGCGAACTGTAGGACACCTGGTCAGGGTCCCCCAAGACTTGGAGAACTGCTCGGTGGTGTGGAAACAGTACAACAGACAAATCAAGGGAGGGTCTGATGCAAATAAAATCGGACAAAAGGTGCAGCTCAAGACCCGTAAGCCCTGGGCCCACTCCGCTGTCTGGACAGAGAGGGGGCACTGGGGAGACTGAGCCCGCAGCAGGTGTTGCCACATCTGCGCCCCAAAGAGCCTCTGGGGGATTCATAAAGGACGTGCCCCAGCAAGACTGAGCCATGACAGGCCAGCAGCCTGTTTTCTGCAGGCAGGTTCTGGGCCGGCGCCCACCCACTCCTCACTGCCCCCCAACAGACTAACTTCGCCATACTGCATACCCCGTCCCCCAAAGCCAGAGGCCCCGTGCCCCACGAGGGCAGTGCCAACATCCTGCTGCTTCCTGAGGTGCCAATTTCCCAGTGACGGGGACGCCTGTCCTGTGACAGGAGACAGGAGAAAACGCAACGTTTGAACCTTAGGAGTGAGGGGAGAACAAGTCACTAGCAAATTCGGCAAGAGTCTATCAATCTACCTCTGACCCTGGACCGCCCAGCCATAAACACGCCCGAAACGGTTCAAAGGGCAAGAACAGTCCAGGGTGATTCCTCCACGTGGACCCCGGGAGACAATAAAAAGCTAGCGACCCCACCCGCCAGGGACCAGCTCTCCCTCCTTTTCTCAAAGCCGAAGAGCCTGGGGGCTCCCTTGTGGGGGTGGGGATGGCCTGTGCCACCCTGGACCGATGCGGAAAGAGCCACCACTGATTGGTGTCGTGGAAAGCTTCCTGTGTGTGCCAGGAGTGATCATTATCCAAACTGGACGGAAGAGGATTCTGAGGTCAGAGAGGTCCCCTGACCCAGGCTCACACCAGCCTGCGGCCTGGGCTCACACAGACCTGGCCAATGACACCTCATCCCCCAGTTCCCCGTCGCTGAGAGAACCATGCAGTGAACGCTGCACCCTCACGTCTGCCACTGAGCAGTGGCTCCTGTCAGCTGCACACGCTCGCTCTCTGTCCACCTAATGCTCTGGAGATCCCTTCTGCGCGAAACTCCAGAACCTCCGTGGGACTCCATCCTGAAGCCCTGATGAACGTCACCCTAGGTGTCCGCAGACCACTCCCTCGCTTACGGTGAGGTTAGACAGGTTAGCATTCCCAAGCCTGTCTGGTTCCTATTTAAATTTCCATAACTGCCCCAGAAACGAGCTAATGAACTTATAAAAAAAAATGGGAAACGCTAACGAGCCATCTTATTTACTCACCTCAGAATCATCTTTAATGTTGTCATGTTTCCGGCTTGAAGAAATATAAGCAACTAGTGAAGAGAGAAAGAAAAAACAGGGCATTCTAGGCATTGTCAGGAATGGAGCCTGACACACAGGGGAACCCAGGGCCCCTCGATCCTCTGGAGACACCGGTGGCCCAGGCCAAGTCTGCAGCATTCAGGGCGAAATCACGGAGTGGCCACAGCTGACCGCACAGTCATAAGAAAATGCAGCTTCCTGGTCCCACCCAGACCTGCTGACTCTCCACCTCTGTGGGTGGAGCCTGGGAACCTGCATTTGTGACACATGTTCTCAGCGATTCGTGTGGAAGCAACTCTTCAAGAAGACTGTGGTATTTAGCTTTCCAGACACTGTTCTTAGAGTGTGCAGATGGATAGGTGGGCAGGCGGGCAGAAGAGGGGATGGTGGAGGGATGGATGGTGGAGGGATAGATGGATGGATGGGTGGGTGGGTGGATGGGTGGATGGATGGACGGACGGACAGAAGGAAGGAAGGAAGGAAGGAAGGAAGGAAGGAAGGAAGGATAGATAGGTGGGTGGATTGATGGATAGTTGGATGGATAGAAGGATGGGTGGATGATTGTATAAGGGGATGGATGGGTAGGGGGGTGGGGGGATGGATGGATGGATGGACGGAAGGATGGACAGAAGGATGGATGGACGGATGGATGGATGGACGGATGGATAAGTGGATGGATAGGTAGGGGGGGTGGATGGATGGATGGTGAGTGGATAGATGAGTGGACAGGTAGACAGATGAA